ATAAATAATTATATTTAAAAAAATAAACCCTTTGGTGGTTCTGTCTCTCTTACTCATGGAAGAGAGAAACTTTAAAATAAAATACAATTCTATCTGGGAGATGCACTTGAAAGAAACAGAGCAGCAGCCATGATCGATCAAGCCTCTCCGGACCCAACTAATTTTCAGGAAATACAAACAGGGAAACACGCTGAACCAACCCTACGGGGCAATGACCTTGGCAAAACTCAGACTTGGGGAATGCTGTGGACACTGCTTTTTATTTTTTTGGAGAGGTTTTTGCTATAGGGTGCGTGCGCTTGCCAGAAAGACAGAGACAGAGAGACAGAAAGCGAGAAATCACCCCCCGGGGGGTGGCCATGCCACAATCCCTTCTCCTCCATTCTCCTCTCAGGATCTTGGGCATGCACATACACGTGCCCAGAGTGAGTTTAAGCCACTGGGTCCGGGACTTGAACCACGGTCGACTACATGGGAGTCCAGCGACATAGCCATTACGCTAACTACTGGTCCCGGGACACTGCTTTTTGACAAATAGTGTAGGAGCGGAGGAATCCCAGAGATGAGATGGAAGAGAACTAGCAATTATGAGATGAATGGAAATTTAAGCACTGATTAGATACCTGATAGTAAGGAATTACCATTAGCAATTTTTTGGGTGTGACAGTTTCAAAGACTTATCTTTTAGAAATCTACAGTGGAATGTTTATAGATGAAACAATAGGACAACTGGAATGACTCCAAAACAGCAGAGTTGAGGAGCAGGGCCAATGAGACAAGATCAGCCACAGGCTGATGTCTGAAGCTTGGTGACAGGGATGTGGGGATTCATTACCGAAGTCTATGTGCTTTGGTAGACTTTCCATAAGAAGAGTTGGCAACGGGGAACGAAGCTGATCTTGGCAAATTCTCCATTATTTACAGAAATGCAATACCCAGGCCCATAACTCACAAGGCCCTACAGGATCAGCCCTGGTGATATCCCTTGCCCCCACCTGCTTAGTCTCTTGCTGACTCCCTCCATTCCAGCCTCAGAAGCTGCTTCATCAGCCCTTGACCACCACCACCCAGCCTTTGCTCCGGCTGCCGCCTCTATCTCAAAGGCCTTTCCGCAACGCCTGACAGTTCTTACTTTCTCCTCCCACCTGAACACAAGCTTGATGAGGGCAGGAGCCTCCCACCCCACTGCTCCCGGCACAGAACATGCGCCTCTAAACACATACAGGAGGGCAGACGGTGCAGAGTCAAGAGCCATGCTAGGAGAGGCTGAGCCACATGGGAAGATTCCAGATTCGTGTCCACAGACCTTCCAGAGTATGTGGACATCCACATGACCATGATCTGGAGATAGCTAAGGCCAGGCCAGAATGGACCCTCCTGGGGGTGCAGCTTTACCCCTTTACCCTGTGGCTCCTTGCTCATGGAGAAAACAAATTTGTAACATACACATGGAATAAGTAAATGAAAAACCCCAAACTCCGGCCAGCTCAGCCCCTGCCACTCTTCCTTCCCTTTGCACAACGGGGGCTGTCACTCCTACGTCAACGTTGGGCTACCTTTGAGAATTCAAGGCCAGTTGCGTCATATGCCCAGCAGAGTATCCAGTGGATGGCCCTGAGGGATGTAGAAACCCAGAGGTCCCATGTCTAGTCCTGCGTCTCTAAGGGCCCTCCCCACACTCTCAGGCACTGGGGAGTTCAGTTCTATCTCCTGGTGGAGGGCAACTGACTTCACAAGGTCAAGTCCCATGAGTGATGCAGGTGAAGAAGGGGTGGGGGGGTGGTGGGAGGGATGGTTTTTGGGGAAAAAAATTTAACAGACTCAAAAATGGGACAGTTGGAGCCAGCAGACGGCATGGAGGTTAAGGCACTGGATCTCACACAGCAGACTACACGGTTCGATTCTCAATCCCAAAGGTTTGAAGATCATGCAAGGGCACATGTACATGTGTGCCCAAAAGTCCAAGATGGAGGAGAAGGGATGTGGCACAGCCATCCCCCAGGGGTGTGATTTCACATACAGCACCCCCACCTGTCTCTTGTCTCTGGCAAGTACACACACCCTACAACAAAAAAACAAAAACAAACAAAAAAACAGAGAGTTATCTGTTGAGGATGAAGTGTGATAGTATTTTTGACTTGTGTGACATTCAATATGTGTATGCTTTAAAAAATTATATTGTGGGACTAGCAGTTAACGTAATGGCTATGTCGCTGGATTCCCATGGTCCAGTCGACCGTGGTTCAAGTCTCGGACCCGATGGCTTAAACTCACGCTGGGCGCATGTGCATGCGTGTCCAAGATCCCAAGAGGAGAATGGAGGAAAAGGGATTGCAGCATGGCCATCCCCCCTGGGGGTAGGGAGAGTGATTTCTGGCTTTCTGTCTGTCTCTGTCTTTCTGGCGAGTGCATGCACCCTGTAGCAAAAAACCTCTATAATTTTTTTTTTTTAATTCAAAAATAAACCATATTGTATGGTTAAAATAATTCTTAAAAAAAAAAAAAGTGGCTGGCAGGTGGCATAGTGGTTAATGGCACAAAAGGGCGCTAGACTCCCACATGGCTGATCACGGTTTGAGTCCTGGACCTGATGGCTTGCTTTCTGGCTTTCCCTTTCTCTCTTTCTTGCTCTTGCTCTGCCCCTCTCTGGTCAAATTAAAATAAATAAAGTTAAAACAAAATAATTCTTAAAAAAAAAAAAAAAACCCCACCACATTCTATGCTGTAAAAACGTACAATGATTAAGTGTGAATGTTAATTTGAATCATTTAGGGGCAGGGACAGCAGGCCTCTCTGGTCAGTTAGCTCAAGAGGGACCTCCTTCTGCCCTGGATTTGGACCTCGTTGCCCCGTGAAAGTTAAGTCATCCCCATTTTTCAGAGAAGAAAACTGGGGCCCAAATGGGGAGAGCCTTATTTCAGCCCCACCCCACCTGGTGAGTCAGCAGACCTGCTTACCAGGCTCCGGCAAGCCCCAGCCACGCCCTGATGAACAAGCTCCTGGCCTTGGGGAAGAGACCTAAAGCCTGGCTTGGCCTACCCTGTCCTCCCTCAGGCAGTAACTCTCCAGCTCACCAAGCCAGCCTGGTGGCTCTGATAATTACTGCCCGACTTGGGGTAGTCACCACCAGGCGGCCGCCCCCCAAGCCAGGAGCTGTGTGGGGACACAGGGCTGACTCTATTGGTCTGTTCCTCATGACAGCACCCAGCCCAGAGATCTGCAGCCTCATCTATCCCGAAAAGAGAATGGAGGAGAAGGGACTGCAGTGTAGCCATGCCCCCTGGGGGATGATTTCTCACTTTCTGTCTCTGTCTCCCTCTGTCTCCCTGGCAAGTGTATGCACTTACAGCAAAAATCTCTCTAAAAAAATAATAATTAAAAATAAATAAATAAATAAAACTAGGGGAAGGAATGAGCAAATGAGCCCTTCTACAGCTCCCCCCCATCACAGAAATAAGATCCGGTACTCCAGGGCCCTCCTGCCTCATCTCCCTATCTCACCCACAAAGCCCCTGCTCCCAGCAGGCCCAGTCACCCTGGCCCATCACTGTACTCTGCCAGCAACACCCTTCCTAAGCCCTGCCAGCTTCCTCCAGCTTGTCCCAGAGGCGGCATCCCTACAGGGAAACTGGGCTGGCCAGAGGGCTCCCTGGCACACCCCAGGTCCTTGAGCTCACTACCTGTGGCAGCTGTCATGCCAGCCTGGCTGTCACCTTCGTCTGTCTCCCTTGCAGCTATGGAAGCCACTTATCTGATCCCGTCTACATCCCCGGGCTTACCGAATGCAGAGAATGGAGCACAGCAGATGGGGAAGGGAGGTCATGGTGGTGCCCCCGCCCCCCTCAACCAAGCTGAAATCCTCAAGGACAGATCTGAGCACAAGTCTTCTTCAGCCTGTTGGCGGTGGCCCCACATCCAAACTCGCCCTTATCTTCTTAGCCTACTCCTGCCTCCTCCACCTCTCCTTGCTGAATGGCACAGCCTCCTTGCTCATGTCCCTGCTCCACGTTACGCAGGCTACGCACTATGCACCTGACAGTGCATGTGCCGGGCCCAGCAGGGTCCTGAGCCCTTTATAAGCCCTAGCTCACCTATTCACTGTTCTCCTGATGTAGAGTTCCTTTAAAAAGAGGTTACCACTCAAAACCCTCTGACGGCGCATGACGCACAGTGACACCCAAGCAGCCAGGCTCCACTGCCCTGCCCGGCCCGGCTCCTCCGTCGGCCTTCACCTCTCCTCTTGGCTCCTGTCACTGTCTACACTGACCTGTGTTTCCCCAGCGGGTCACCTGCTCCACGAGGGCAGAGACCTCACTGATGCATCTGCGTCCCCACACACTGCCCAGCCCCAGGGTACTAGGTGGCTAAAGCCTTCTTTCCTCACAACCAGCCTGGCTGGGAGGTACAGGTAGCTTCACTTTACAGATGTGGAGAAGGAGACACAGGGAGGTTTAGTCACCTGCCTGAGAACATGGAGCTTGTTTAAGTGTCGAGTCCAACATGGGAATCGCGGGGCATGCCTGGAGCAGTGCCTGGCCATTCTGCGACTGTGTCACCACGTTGCCTCGGCCAGCCTTAAGCTACCAGGCTCCTGCCTCACCTTTATGCTTAAGCTGCCAGGATTACAGGCACATACCACTGTGCCTGGCGAGGGGCCTCATTTTTTAACTACTGTAGTACTTCACCACTGGATGACAAACAACTATCAAATATATGAACCCCTATAGATGGCTGCTGAATAAATAAATGAAACAGGTACTGGGGGTCACCAGGGAAGGCTTCCTGAAGGAGACAGCATAGGACCTACTCCTCTGACAGAGGCAGGCTTGTAGACAAGCAAGATGGCAAAGGAAGGACGGGAATCCCCATGTGCTGAACAGGATGGAAGCCGGGCACGTCTGCCAGGTGTGATGCACCCCGAAGGCCCACCTCTCCCGCCCGCTGATTCGACAGCTGGCCCTGGCACAACACACGTGCTCCCAAAGCCCACAGACACCTACCACAGGTCACCTTGCCTTCCGAGGCCGGCCTGGCTGGCTCCTGCTGCTGTGGGGTGGCCGGCCCTCCTCTCCGCCGCCGTCTGGCACCACCACTGGGCCGGCCCCTACTCCGCCGCTGCCGCTTGGTTGGTGGGGAGCCTGCAGGGAGGAAGATAGGGCAGGCTGAGAAAAGGATGACAAGTGGAGTGCTATGGTGGGTGCCTGGAGGGAGTCTGAGGCTGGTCTCGGTGCTGAGAGCCTTAAAGAGAGTCTCCTGACCTCCCTGCCTCGGAAGCCCTGTCTAGAAGATGAGGAACACCACCTGGCATCATCCAGAAGGGCAGACTCGTACACCCCAGCCCCCAGCAGGCCCACTCCAGGCCTGACCTTGAAGAATCCCCTGCACACTCACACCAGAGACAAGTGCGACAACAGCCACCAGGGAACTATTTATTCATTTATTATTTAACTTTAATTACTGAACTACTTATTTATTTTAATTTGACCAGAGAGGGTCAGAGAGAGAGAGGAAGTGAGAAAGAAAGCCGCTAGGTCCGAGACTCAAACCACGGTCAGCCATGTGGGAGGCCAATACCTTCAACCATCACGCCACCTGCCAGCCCCATGATGCGTAGTTTATAATCGTGAAAACCGCACACAATGTAAGTGTCCAACAGAAGAAATGGGAACGTAGAGCAGGTCCCCAGATCAACTGTCTAGCAGACTAAAGCCAGGTGCAAAAGTATGTACGCAGTGCTGCCCCTCCCACAGGAGGAAGACTAATAAGGCAGCCTTAAAAGAAGTCATGGAAAATGCATATTATGCTAAAACTATGTACAGATTTCAAGTCTTTTGCACCAAAATAAATTCTGCACTTTAAATTTTCCACGAATTTTTAAAGATTTATTTATTAATTCCATTTGTCATTATTTCTTAATTTGACCAGAGAGAGAAAGGGAAAGGGAGAAAGTAAGCTGCCAGGTCTGGGACTCGAACAGTGGCCAGCCATGTGGGAATCCACTACCTTTCACCACCATGCCACCTGCCAGCCTACCACGAATTTTTTTTTAAAGAATTATTTTTTATTTAACTTTATTTGTTATTATTACTTTCCGGTTTGATCAGAGAGAGACAGAGAGAGAAAGGGAAAGTGAGAAAGGAAGCCACCAAGTCCAGGACTTGATCCACAGTCAGCCATGTGGGAGTACAGCATCCCAGTCACCAAGCCACCTGCCAGCCCCACAAATGTTTTTTAACAACTTACAGAGAAACTTTATTGTTCTATTTTTATTTATTTTTAAACCTTTTTTTTTTTTTTTTTTTTTTAAAGACTTATTAAGGGATGGCAGGCAGCATGGTGGTTAAAGGCACTGGACTCCCACATGGCTGACCACAGTTCAAGTCCCAGATCTAGTGGCTTGCTTTCCACGTTCTCTCTGTCTCTCTTCTGTCTTTTTTTGGTCAAATTAAAAATAACAATAGTGTGGGAACCAGTAGTTAGCGTAATGGCTATGTCGCTGGACTCCCACGTAGTCGACCGCGGTTCGTATCCCGGACCCGGTGGCTTAAAATTCACGCCAGGCACGTGTGCGTGCGTGCCCAAGATCCCGAGAGGAGAATGGAGAAGGGATTGCAGTGTGGCCATCCCCCCTGGGGGGTGATTTCTCGCTTTCTGTCTCTGTCTCTGTCTGTCTGACGAGCGCACGCACCCTATAGCGAAAACCACTCCAAAAAAATAAAAAATAAAATAACAATAGTGATAAAATAAAGAAAACAATTATTTAAAACAAAATTGTTCATTTATTCATCTATTATTATTTTTTAATTTCACCAGAGAGCTAGAGAGAAAAAGAGAAAATGAAAAAGCAAAACCCCAGGTCCAGGACTTGAACCACAGTAGGCCATGGGAGAGTCCAGTGCACTTTAACCACCGTGCCACCTGCTGGCCCCCTCATTTTTTTTTTTAAAGTTTTCTTTCTATAGGATGCTTGCACTCACTGGAGAGACAGAAAGCAAAAAATTGGGATCAGCAGATGGCATAATGGTTACATCGCTGGACTCTGTCTGTCTGTCTCTGTCTCTTCAACCGAGCACACACACACTCTAGCAAAAATCTCTCTGGAAAAAATAAATAAAAAATAAGAAAAGAAAGTGCACACATTCTGGTTTGAGCCAAGTTTTAAGGCGCCAGGTCTGGGAACCACAGTCAACTAATGGGAGTCCAGTGACATAACCATGATGCTTTCTGCTGGTCCCTTTCCAAGAACCTTTTCTGTTTTTAAAAAATTGTTTAGTTTTATTTATTTTTATTATTTTTTAATTTGACCAGAGAGAGAGAGAGAAAGAAAGTGAGAAAGCAAGCTGCCAGGTCCTGAACTTGAACCACGGTTGGCCACGTGGGAGTCTAGTGCCTCAACCACCACTCTACCTGCCAACCCCTTCGCAAAGTTTCTAAAGTCACTCTGTATGTATTTGCAAGATCAAACACTAAAAGGGCAAATTAGAAATAAATTAAATAGATTACCTAGTTGGGTGGGAGGTAATAGCAAAAGTGACAAGTCTAAGAACACCTTTTTACATATTTTACATACTAAAAAGTTTTGACTTTTTTTTGGGGGGGGGGGAGGTTTTTGCTATAGGGCGTGTGCGCTCACCAGACAGAGAGAGACAGAGAGACAGAAAGCGAAAAATCACCCCCCAGGGGGGATGGCCATGCCACAATCCCTTCTCCTCCATTCTCCTCTCGGGATCTTGGGCACGCACGCACACGTGCCCGGCGTGAGTTTTAAGCCACCGGGTCTGGGATGCGAACCGCAGTCAACTACGTGGGAGTCCAGTGACATAGCCATTACGCTAACTGCTGGTTCCCAAAAGTTTTGACTTTTGAGTCACTTAACTGTTTTCACAGACTAAAAAGCTTAAAAAGAAACAAACCAGACCAGCCAGTGGTAGATTTTGAGTCCTAGACCCAGAAGCTTGAGAAACACGCTGGGTGGATGTGTGTGTGTGTGCCCAAAATCCTGAAAGGAGAGAGAAATAGAGAAGAGATTGAGGTGTGACTCTCCATACAGGATGCTTTCTCACTTTCTGTCTCTCTCTCTGGCAAGTGCATGTGCCCTCTAGCAAATAAACAAAAAGCAGCAACAGGGGCAAGTGAGTGGCATGGTGGTTAAGGTGCTGGACTCCCACGTGGCCAGCGACGGTTCAAGTCCCAAATCTGATGGTTCTCTCTCTCTCTCCCCCTGTGGTGAGTGCATATGCCCTACAGCAAATTTAATAATAATGCTGATAATTAAAGTAAAAAAAAAAATAGGGGCCATGGAGGTTAAGGCTGCTAGACTCCCATAGTTTGGGTCCTGAACCTGGCAGCTTGCTTTCTCTCTCTCTCTCTCTGTCCCTCTATGGTAAAATTAAGTTAAAACAATAATTCTTAAAAAAAAAATAAAAGGACAATTTTTTTAAAAAGGAAAAAACAACAACAACAAATAGGGTCAGCCAGGTGGTGTGGTGGTTAAGGCAGCTGGATCCCACCTGGTCAACTGTGTGGTTTGAGTCCCAGACCCAGCAGCTTGAAAGACATGCCGGACATGTGTCTGTGCACACCCAGACCCCTGAGAGGAGAATGGAGGTGAGGAGACTGCGGCATGATCATTCCCCCAGTGGTTTCTCACTTTCTCTGCCTCTCCAGCAAACACATACACACTAGTAAATTAAATAAGTAAACAAAAGAAACAAACCACAAAACAAAACACAAATAGAAACAAATGAATCTTACTGTATATATAACTGGTAACAGAAATACTCAGAGTAAAGAATTATTTCCAGTAACTCTGAAGAACATTCTGACTATAAACTAGGCCAGCAGGTGGCCTGATGGTTAAGGTGCTGGATACTCCCACATGACCATCCACGGTTCGAGTGCTGGAACTGGCGGCTGGCTTTCTCACTTTCCTTCTCTGTGTGTCTGTCTTTCTCTGGTCAAATAAAAATAAATGAAGGAATGAATAAAATTAAAGAACATTCTGACTGTAAACTCTCAGTGGTTAGAGACCAAGAACCACAAATAATTCTTATGTGTCATTCAGCAAATATAGTCAGTACTGACACTGACTTTGTCGTTTTGATGACTATTATTGTTATAAAACAAAGCAAATAGAGCCAGCCCATTGCATAGTGGTAAAAGCAGCTAGATTCTACACACTGACTGTGTGGTTCGAGCCCTGGACCCAACGGCTTAAAAAACACCCTGGGCGCAAGTATGTGGATGCCCCCAAGCCTGAAAGGAGGAAGAGAAGGGACTGCAGTGTGGCCAGACCCCATGGCGGTGCTTTCTCTCCTCTCTCTTCCCTCCCTCCCTCCCTCCGGCCCGCCCTCTCTCTCTCCCTCTCTCTCCTCCTCTCCCTCCTCCTCGCCCTCCCTTTCTCTTCTCTGATGATACACACACTCTCTAGTTAAAAAAAAAGGAAAAATATATATTATCTCCTTGTTATTATACATAAACATTTTTAGTTTAAGAGAGACTGATATGTTAATTTTAATTTGAAAACACTAAGAGGAACTTTTTTTTAAAGATTTATTTAATTTTTATTTATTTATTTTTCTATTTTTTTTAAATGTGTCTAGAGAGAGACACAGAGAGAGATGGTGAGAAAGCAAGCCACCAGGTTCAAGACTCAAACCACGGTCAGCCATGTGGGAGTGTCCAGTGCCCTAATCACCATGCCACCTGCTGGTCCCCTAAGAGGAACTTTTTAAAAAGCATGTTGTCTAGCACTATTCACTACAATCCCAGAAGCAATTCACACACTTAATACCCAGTTCTTGGTCCCTAAATACCATGGCCTCTAAAAGAAATCCAGCTCCTTGAAAACTAGATGATTCTGGGGCTGACAGGTGGTGTGGTGGTTAAGGGAGCTGGACTCCTAAATGGCTGACCATGGTTCGAGTCCCAGACCTGGTGGCTTGCCTTATTTTTCTGCACTCTCTCTCTGTCTGTCCCTCTCTGGTCATATTAAAATAAATGAATAAAGTTAAATAATTCTTTAAAACAAAACAAACAAACAAAAAAAACTAGATGATTCTAAAGCTGAGGAAGGGTAAGTTCAAAGTGAGTCAGGATATCTTTTTTTTTAAATAATTATTTTATTTTTTTCATCATCGTTTTATTTTACTTTTATGGAGGTTTTTATTTTTTTATTTATTTTTTTTTTCTGTAGGGCGCGTGAGCTTGCCAGAAAGAGAGAGACAGACAGAAAGAGAGAAACCATCCTCCTGGTTGGATGGACAAGCCGCAATCCTTTCTCCTTCATTCTCCTCTCGGGATCTTGGGCACGCACGCACATGTGCCCAGTGTGAGTTTAAGCCACCGAGTCCGGGACTTGATCCATGGTCGGTTGGCTACATGGGAGTTCAGCGACTTAGCCATTACGCTAATTGCTGGTTCCTTGTTTTGCTTTTTTTTTAAAAAAAGTTGACCAGAGAGAGGGAAAATGAGAATGCAAGTGGCCAGGTCCAAGACTCAAACCGCAGTGGGAGTCCAGTGGGAGTCCAGCCACCTTAACTACCACGCTACCTGCCAGCCCTAAGTCAGGTATCTTGCAGGGTCACAAAAGCAGAAAACACCCAAAAAAGTGATGGGGAGACAATGAAAAACACAGAGGATAGCCAATTTGAGCCTCAGGAAAAATGCATATTGACATACTACATGAGTTCAAAGTGATAATCAAAAAAGAAAAAGGTAAAGAAACAAAAAGGAAAACTCCTCTTCAAAGAATTTCAACTAAAAGTAGAAAGAAAATATTTTTAAGAATTATTTTTATTTAACTTTATTCATTTATTCATTTTAATTTGACCAAAGAGAGAGAGAGAGAGAACGAGAGAGAGGAAAAGTGAGAAAGTAAGCCACTTAGGTCTAGGACTCGAACTGCGGTCAGTCATGTGGGAGCATCCAGCACTTTAACCACCATGCCACTTGCTGGTCCTAAGAAATTTTTTAAAAGGATTATTTTTTATTTAATTTTACTCAACTTTTTTTTTTTTTTTTAAACTTGACCAGAGAGAGAGACAAAAAGTGAGAAAGCAAGCCACCAGGTTCAGGATTCAAACTGTGGTCAGCCAAGTGGGAATCCAGCCCCTTAACCACCATGCCACCAGCTAGCCCCGAGAAAATAAAGAATTAAAAAATCATTTCACAAACGCCAATGTGATAACTAGTTCAGACAGGGCTCACCAATGAATGCTAAACCTCTGGGTTTAGGAAATGGAATGGGCGAAAGAGTCATCCCATAGATTGCTTATAGCTGTAATTGTCACTAAACGTAGTATTTGCCCTTTGCAGTACACAAAAATGGCAGACTTCACCTTATCCACGTAATCAAACTTTCCCACTCAAAGAGGGAAAACCAGGGGACCAACAGATGGCATAACAGTTACATCACTGAACTCCCATTGTGGCCAACTATGGTTCAAGTCCCAGACCCGGCGGCTTAAACTCACACTGGGTGCATGTGTGTGCACGCTCAGAATCCCAAGAGGAGAATGGAGGAGAAGGGACTGCAGCATGGCCACCTCCCCTGGCGGATTTGTTACTTTCTGTCTCTCTGTGTCTCCAGTAAGCATATCCGCCCTATAGCAAAATGTGTTCTCTCTCTCAAAAAAAAAAAAAGGGAGGGAAAACCAGATCTTAAGTAGTTTGTGATGTGCTTCAATACAAAGCAGACAGACAGCATCAACCAAGGAGTATTTCTGCCAAAAACATGTAAACGTAATCTTTTTTTTTTTTGGGGAGGTTTTTGCTTTAGGGGGGGGGGTGCCTCCCAAAAAAGGAGAGACAGGAAGC